CACATACTGCTCCGGGCCCCTAATCTGCCATGGGCCCCTATATACCACCCCCCTCCCCATGCTGCCGGCCCCAGAGTCTTCAGGGGCCCCTGTACGGCCTCCCATTGCTCCCGTCTCCATCGCCACACTCTGCTCCAGTGCCACTTCGGGTCTCTTCACACTGCGGTGTGTTCTCATGGGGTTCCCCTGTACGAGTCCTCCCATTGCCTGCTCTCCATCGCCACACTCTGCTGCCATGTGCCACTATTCAGGTCTCTCACACACATGCTGGTGTGTTGAATTTTTGACATAGGGTGCTGTGCAGATTACGGGCCTCCCATAGCTGCTGCCAGGCCCCTAATCTGCAATGGGCCCTATATACCGCCATCCTCATGCTGCTGCCAAGTCCAGAGTCGTCATGGGTCCCTGTACGGCCTCCCATTGCTGCTGTCTCCATCGCCACACTCTGCTGCCATGTGCCACTTTCAGGTCTCCTCACACACTGCTAGTGTGTTAAATTTTTTGACATAGGGTGCATGGCAATTAACGGGCCTCACATAGCTGCTGCCAGCCCCTAATCTGCCATGGGCCCCTATATACCAACGCCTCCGATGCGGCCTGCCAAAGTCCAGAGTCTGCACCCTGTACGGTCCCATTGCTGCTCTCTCACTACACACTCCATGTGTGCCACTTTCAGGTCTCTTCACACTGCTGGTGTGTTAATTTTTTGACATAGGGTGCAGGCAGATTACGGCCTCACATAGCTGCTGCCAGGCCCCTAATCTGCCATGGGCCCCTATATATACCGCCTCCTCATGCTGCTGCCAAGTCCAGAGTCTGTCATGGGTCCCTGTACGGCCTCCCATTGCTGCTGTCTCCATCGCCACACTCTGCTGCCATGTGCCACTTTCAGGTCTCTCACACTGCTGGTGTGTTAAATTTTTTGACATAGGGTGCTGGCAGATTACGGGCCTCCTATAGCTGCTGCCAGGCCCCTAATCTGCCATGGGCCCCTATATACCGCCTCCTCATGCTGCTGCCAAGTTCAGAGTCTGTCATGGGTCCCTGTACGGCCTCCCATTGCTGCTGTCTCCATCGCCACACTCTGCCATGTGCCACTTTCAGGTCTCCTCACACTGCTGGTGTGTTGAATTTTTTGACATAGGGTGCTGGCAGATTACGGGCCTCCTATAGCTGCTGCCAGGCCCCTAATCTGCCATAAGCCCCTATATACCAACCGCCTCCTCATGCTGCTGCTGCCAAGTCCAGAGTCTGTCATGGGTCCCTGTACGGCCTCTCACCATTGCTGCTGTCTCCATCGCCACACTCTGCCATGTGCCACTTTCAGGTCTCCTCACACACGCTGGTGTTTGTTTGAATTTTTTTGACATAGGGTGCTGGCAGATTACGGGCCTCCTATAGCTGCTGCCAGGCCCCTAATCTGCCGTAGGCCCCTATATACCAACGCCTCCTCATGCTGCTGCCAGGTCCAGAGTCTCTCATGGGTCCCTGTACGGCCTCCCATTGCTGCTGTCTCCATCGCCACACTCTGCCATGTGCCACTTTCAGGTCTCCTCACACTGCTGGTGTGTTCCATTTTTTGTCATAGGGTGCTGGCAGATTATGGGCCTCCCATAACTGCTGCCAGGCCCCTAATCTGCCATGGGCCCCTATACCGACTCCTCATGCTGTGACGTTGCAACAAGGTGGAATTCAACCCTACATATGTTAGACCGCCTTTACGAACAGCAAAAGGCCATCACAGATTTCCTGATGTTAAAAGCAGATAAAGGTACTCCCTGTGTAACTTAGATGTCAGCCATTGGCAGCTCATGCCACCTGACACCTGCGCTTGCTCAGGCCCTTTGAGGAGGCCACGCTATTCGTGAGTCGGCAGGACTATGGGATGAACGACGTCATTCCTCTGTTGCACGTCCTGGAACAAATGCTGTTAACAATGGCTGGTCAGGGTGCGGTAGACGTGGCGCACAGATCTCAACGCCACATGGCCCCCTGTGGGGGCAGGACTGGAAGAAGAGGAGGAGGTAGAGGAGGACATTGGTGCTCAGGAATTATTGAGTGAAATGGGTGGTTTTTCCACTCAGCGGACAGGAGTGGAGGAGCAGGAGCATCTGGTAGAGGAGGAGGAAGAGGAGACAGAGGACCTAGACGCACCGTGGCAGTATGCTGTGGAGATGGAGGCAGGGAGTCCCTCGCATTCCTTGGCACAAATGGCCCATAGCATGCTCGGTTGCTTGCGTAGCGACAGCCGAATAATAACCATCAGACAGAGGGATGACTTTTGGCTGTCCACCCTTGTTGGACCCTCGCTACCGTTCAAAAATGGTGGCCTTTTTCACACCTGCTGAGAGGGAGGCCAAAATAACGTACTATAAAAAACACCTATGTAGTCAGCTGGTCTCTGCCTGTCTGCGCCAACGTCCATCCTCAGACACTGTGGGCCCTGTGCGCTCGTGTTCCGCTGCCATGGCAGCAGGGGAGGGGTGGGGTGGTAGGAGCAGTGGCAGCTCCACCAGCAGCGGCTGCCTCAGTCTGCAGTCGATGATGAGTAGCTTTCTTCACCAGCGCAGTGAGGAAACTACTAACCAGCCGCAGCAGCAGCAGCAGCATCAGGTGGACCTGGAGCAGGACCTCAAACAACAGGCTTAGGCCTACTTGGACAGCACCCTGCCAACCGAGGTAGACAATCCCCTTGACTACTGGGCAACGAAACTTGACCTTTGGCCCCAACTAGCTGAATTTGCCCTTGAAAGGCTGTCATGCCCGGCCAGTAGCGTGGCATCGGAGCGCGTGTTTAGTGCGGCAGGAGGTATTGCAACTCCGCGGAGGACACGACTGTCCACCCAAAGTGTGGAGAGACTCACGTTTGTGAAAATGAATCAGGCGTGGATTAGTCTGGATTTCAAACCACCAGTTCCTGACACAACTGACTAAATCCGCCATGAATCATGCCCCAAACATGTGCCACTTTCAGGTCTCCTCACACTGCTGGTGTGTTCCATTTTTTGTCATAGGGTGCTGGCAGATTACGGGCCTCCCCATAGCTGCTGCCAGGCCCCTAATCTGCCATGGGCCCCTATACCGCCTCCTCATGCTGCTGCCAAGTCCAGAGTCAGTCTCTCATGGGTCCCTGTACGGCCTCCCATTGCTGCTGCCTCCATCGCCACACTCTGCCATGTGCCACTTTCAGGTCTCCTCACACTGCTGGTGTGTTCCATTTTTTGTCATAGGGTGCTGGCAGATTACGGGCCTCCCATAGCTGCTGCCAGGCCCCTAATCTGCCATGGGCCCCTATACCGCCTCCTCATGCTGCTGCTGCAGGTCCAGAGTCTCTCATGGGTCCCTGTACGGCCTCCCATTGCTGCTGTCTCCATCGCCACACTCTGCCATGTGCCACTTTCAGGTCTCCTCACACTGCTGGTGGGTTCCATTTTTTTGTCATAGGGTGCTGGCAGATTACGGGCCTCCCATAGCTGCTGCCAGGCCCGTAATCTGCCATGGGCCCCCGTACCGACTCCTCATGCTGCTGCCAGGCCCGTAATCTGTCATGGGCCACTGTTGTCGCTTGTTGGCATATTCCGCTCGTTCAGATGCTCCTTCTCCTGCTACTCCTCTTCACGGACGGATTCCGTCAGCAGTCTTTCTTGGAATCCGTTTCCAAGAGACAACAGTTTTGCGAGCACGCACCCGACGGTGCAGAAGCTGAACGTCCTCCTGTCCAAGTTGCTGCTGCCAGGCTCGTAATCTGTCATGCGCCCAGCCTCCTCATGCTGCTGCCCTGTAGTCCAGAGTGTGTCATGGGCCCCCGTACCGACTCCTCATGCTGCTGCCAGGCCCGTAATCTGTCATGGGCCCCTGTTACACCGCCTCCCCATGCTGCTGCCAGGTCCAGAGTGTGTCATGGTCCCTGTACGGCCTCCCATTGCTGCTGCCATGGACCCGTAATCTGCCATGGGACCCCTGTACCGACTCCTCATGCTGCTGCCAGGGCCCGTAATCTGTCATGGCCCCTGTACCCGCCTCCTCATGCTGCTGCCAGGTCCAGAGTGTGTCATGGGTCCCTGTACGGCCTCCCATTGCTGCTGTCTCTATCGCCACACTCTGCCATGTGCCACTTTCAGGTCTCCTCACACTGCTGGTGGTTTTACCCATTTTTGTCATAGGGTGCTGTATGGCCCTCCCATTGCTGCTGCCTCCACCGCCACACTGTGGCTCCACACTCTGGTTTTGGCCCCGTGAAGCTGCCCAAATGAGTGAAGTGGTTGCGGTGATTACTAAGATCGACGGCACTCATCTGCATGTCATAACTGACTGACAGTATTATTTTCTCTTCCCCACAGACTCCAAGGGCATTTAAATTAAAGGTACAGTGTTCTGCACTAATATTAAGTCTCTCTGAAGCCCTAGAAACACCCTTTTTTAAGTTAAATTCACAGCGAATATATTCGACGAGCTGCGCAGCGAAATTTTTCCACGAATTCGACGAATTAAACCAGTCGATTTCGAATTTTTGAATACTTCGCTCATCGTCTAGTTATAATATGCCTTTCATATTCTGAAAATATCTTCTTTCAGGAATTTTAAAGGTGAATAGATTGTATATTTCATTGCTATTCAAATGGAAAAGGTTATTTTACTTATCTCTACAAAAATAATGCAAAGAATCAGAGTATCCTCTTAAAAGGGAGGAACAAAAAAAATACATTGTTACAGCTATAAACATGTTCTTTATTTATATTTTTAATTCCAACCAAGTTTTTAATTGGAAAATAAACAACAACTAACACGTAAAGAGTACTTTCACTATAACAAGTTTTATAAAGGTATAAACAAAAAGGGTTGACAGTAATAACTGATGGGGAAAACTTTTATCAGGCATGGATACAAGTGCTCGCGCTCGTAGATGAAGAGACGGTGTGGGAAATCATGCTTCTAAATAGCATGGGAGAAATACAGAGAACATAATGAACATTGAGATTATTATGGTAGATTTTAAGAAAGCCTGAAGGCCTGGACAACCTCTCGATCCTGGGAATCAATGAGTTTTCAACCTTCTAGCTGGCGGAGAATACAGTATCTACTGCAATAGGATGGTAACATCGTTCAACTTATTTGCAACTGTGGGCCAATGCTGTCCTCCAATCAACCTTGCTAGCCCGGTGGATCAAGTAACGCACTCAAAAAAAAAAAAAAAAAAGCCAGAGACAGGAAGAGAGAGAGAGAGAGAAATGGAAAAAAAGGGGGCAGGAGGGGAAAGGAGAGGAGAGGAGAAAGGGGAGGGGACGGAAAAAAAGAGTGCCTAAGGAAACAGGCGGGTGCTGTACCAGAGGGGCGGACAAGAGCTGAGGATGGATACCTATGTGGGGCAAGGGGGGGTAAGCCATTCCTTACATTTCTGTATGGTTCATATGTTGTCATGCAAATAAGGGGTAAAAGGGATAGGAAGGCTGTCGTTTTCTTTTTGTGAGATTAAGCAGGAAGAATTGTCCATGGGGGACAGGTTTGGTTAGGGGTATCATGACTGTTGGTTAGTTGGGTTAGAAATAACTCTGTAAATATTTGGCTGAACTCGTCGTTGTTTGAAAAATGGAGCCAACAGCCCAGGTTTTTGTGAATTTTGGAAGGGGAGTCTTTGGCGATGTGTATTATTTCCTCCATTTCAGCAACTCTTGAGATTCATGTAATCCATTCTACAAGGAATGGAACTTTGGAAGAGCCCCAGTGGTATCTGTATGGATGCCTTGGCCACATTAATCAAGTGCATTGCAAATGATTTTTTATAGACCTTCAGGGGGAGTGCTGTGAGATGCAGTAAGTACTGTGGTGGAGTGTAAGTTAGGGCTTCAGTTGTTACTTTGAGAGTAATGGAGTGGACATCAGACTGGAATGATTGGATCAATGGACAATCCCACCACACATGTTGGAGTGTACCAACTGCTTGGTGGCATCTCCAACATTGATTGGGGAGGGAAAAATCTAATTTATGAAGCAAAGCTGGGCTCCTGTACCACCTGGCCAAGAGTTTATAATTAATTTTCTTGGATAGAAACATTGATCAAACGTTTATGTGCATTATGGAAAAATTTTTCCCACTCTTCTGGGGTTACATCCATTTGAAAATCTCTGGACCAGGTGCAGCAAAGCTTTTTCCCGTATCTGTTGAAATATTCTCTCTTAGGAGGTTATGGATTGTTGATATGACGTGTTGCTATGGATTGCTCGAGCAGATGTTTTCAAATACATGTGAGTGGCCTAGACAGGATTGCTGTAGGATGTGAAGTTTTAAGAAAATGACTAAGCTGGAGGTATATCCAGTGGGTATAACCTGCTTCAGGCCATTGCAATGTCAGTTGGTCTCTCTTCAGTAGTACACCTGCATTGAAGAATTGGTGTGCCCGTAAGACCTCATTCAGATCAATCCCAGATAATAAAATGAAGGGACATCCCTGGTACAAAGTCAGGGTTCATCAGGACAGGTGTCATGGGGCCAGGGAGTGAAGAGATCCCAGTTTTCTTACATGTCTGATGGAAACAGCGTATAGTCAGTCTGATAAGCAGATGGTTTCTGTAGTGCAGTGGGGAAG